GGGGGGGGGGGGGCGGGGAACCTACCCCTCCTGTGGGGGACTCTGCACCAGACAGCAAACGAGCCAGGCTCCAGGGGAAGGGGTGCTCTAGCCCCACCCCACCCACCTGCAGCCTCTGTCACCCGCAGCAAGGGCCTAGTTGACAGCTGCACAGGGCCCGGGGGATGGATGTCCCGCCAGCCCCCTGACCATGCTCACCACCCCAGCCTCGGCGTGTTTCCCATGGGCCCCCTCTCTGACCCCACAGGCCTCGAACCCCTCTGGGCACCAAGGTGGGGTGTGGAGAGGCCAAGACAGCACACTGGCAGGGGCCCAGTTTGCTTGGCTGGGGAGTGTAATTGGATAATAAAAGGGAACTGGATTTTCTAGCCCAGGAGGGGATCCCAGGGGGTTCCTGAATTGTTCTTTCCTGGGCTGAGGACGTCATCCACAGTAGGAATCAGTGGAGTGTGTCCGCCCTGCAGCTGGTACGGAGGCTCCTTCAGGGTTCACAGCGCAGACACAGTTCGGCCTGGGGGCCCATTAGGGTGGGCTGCTCTCAGAGCACAGGCCCCCTTGAGGGGCCCCCTCTCCTTTACCAGGCAAACAGGTACCCAGGTCACTGGGGAGGTCAGGGAAGGGGAGAAGCAGGTCCTGCCCACCACCTGGGACCATCCCCCACACTCACTGCCCATCCCCCAGTCAGTCCACCACCCTCGCTGCTCACCACCATCACACCTATGGCTGCCCGCTCTGGTCACACTGTCACCTGCAGCCTTCTCCTGTCACACTGCCTAAGGCACACTGTCCCTCCCAGCAGCTCACTGCTCACTACACTTGTGCCCACTGCATCTGGTCAATGTCCCCCACCAAGAGAAAACAGTCACCTCTGCACATGCCTGGGCACAGCTCCAGCTGTACCCACCTCTGCTGCTGGCTCCTGGCCTCTCGGGGGGGGCTCCTCCGCTCTGGGCCCGGGCCTTGCCCCTCCCAGGAGCCGCTTACAGAGAACAACTCTTCGGGTGACTGCCTCGGGAGGGGGCAACTGGGGCAGGAGCTCCCCAGGCTGGCCACCCCTCCCAGCAACCCTCCCACTTCCCAGGCCAGGGTCCAGGAGAGAAGGGATGTGCAGAAATGCGCCCCGCTTTCTGAGCATTTCACCTTAACTGGACTTCATGCAAATGAGCTTACAACTGACAGCCTCCTTCTGGGGTCCAGAGCCCAGGCAGGAGCGAAAGCCACGCCCCCTCATTCCCAGTTGTGCCAGAAGGATGGGAGCAGAAAGTGACCTTGGCATCAGCTCTCCACCAACCCTCCCCCAGCCCAGCCAGTGGGGCCCAGGCCTGGCCAGGCGTGCTCCAGTTGGTCAGGTGTGACACCTGCCACAGCCCGAGCCCAACACCCTCCCTGCCCTTTGGGTCTGGGTGGCAACTGTGTCCTCCAGTTTGGGGCGACGGGGGCCACCCTGTGGCACCAATACCTCTACCCTGGACACGGGCACCTCCTCTGAGCAAACCCAGCCCACCTCGGCGAAAGTTATGGAAGTCCCGGTCTCCCGCCGACTCCTCATCCCGCCCAGGGTCTGGTCCAGCCGGAGGGCTCACCCACATACCCACCCTGTCCCTTCCCTGCTTCGGGAGGCTGGGGACCGTCTCCCCTCCCCCCCCCCCCCCCCCC